CCCTTCTTGGGGCCTCTCTTGGGTCCCTCTGGGGGCCCTCTTGGTGCCGCCCTGGGGCCTTCTCGGGGCCTTTTTGGAGCCTTTCTGGCGCCCTTTAAGTGGGCCCTGGGAGGTGTCACTTTCAGGGGCGCTGAAGGTGACACCTCGAAGGGCCCGCTTTCCCTCGTAGCGCTGCCCGTGGCCGGGGCATTGTGCAGCGCATCCCTCGTCGAACGCATTTTGTCGGACGCGTGGTCGAATTCCGCCAGTTCGGTCGAGATGGTGGTCAAGCGGTTCGGTTGCAATGTAACCATGCGGATCTGAGCTTACCATTTCTTGCCATTTTGGCGGGGGCTCGCAGGAGCGTTTGTGTTGTGATCAGCTGTGCTCGATATATCCAGCGGCAGGGTTTCATCCCAAACTATGATTTTGAAAAAGTCAGCAGGGGCCAAATTGGTGATGTCAAGCAACATAGGTCTCGTATAGAAGGCTATGGGGCTCTAGGGCTGCAGGGCTGCAGGGCCATAGGGCTATAGGGCTATTGGGCTATAGGGCTATGGGGCTGTAGGGTTATGGGGCTATAGGGCTGTAGGGCCATAGGGCCATAGGGCTATAAGGCTATCAGGCTATAGGGCTATTACGGCTATAGGGCTACAGGGCTATAGGGCTACAGGGCTATATAGAGCTACTGGGCACCTGGGCACCCGGGCACCTGGGCACCCAGGCACCCGGGCACCCGGGCACCCCAGGGCACCGGGGCACCCGGGCGTGCAGCGAAAATCGGCGGCAAACCTAACTTAACCATATGAATCCGCTAGGGCCCCTACAGCCAGATCTTGGACGAAAAATAAAACATACCCCTAACATGCTCAAAGAATGGTCAAAAGTGGTCGACAAGTCGCCCCCAGACTATTTTCTTCTGGCTATTTCTGAATAGGCCCCCTGCAGAGGGACATGTTTTGGTTATTGTTTGGCTATTGTTCGACTATGTTTTGACCATTTGTTGGCTATATATTGACTATTTCTTGGCCGTATCTGAATGGTCTCCCTGTGGCCCGCCCGCCCCGGGGGCGGTGCCTCCTCAGACATCCGCCGCATCGGAAAAAATCCAGGCGAGGGTTATTTATATATATATATATATATATATATAAAAAATATGTATATATATATATATATATATATAGATTGTTAAGAACTTCTATCTATGTGTGTGTATATATATATATATGAACCGCCCCTAGGGGCCCTCGAAGGGCCTCGGGGCCGTCCAGAAAAACGACTCGAGAGGAAAGATCGGTCCGGGGGGCACGGGTCGAGACGTCCGTGCGCCCCGTAGCGAGAAGAGCACGACGTCGGGCCTCTGGGTCGTGGGCGCCTCTCGCGCGCTGGGTCTTGGCATCGCTCGGACGTGTGCATTTTTCCTTCGGCGAGGACCATCGAGGAGCATCCTTGATCACTTGGCGAAAAACCACGCGCGAAACCGAAAAAAAAACACAGGGAATGGACGTCCGAGCGATGGCCAGGGGTGGGCGCGCACATGGCGCTGCGTAGCTCTTACTGCACAGCCCGCTTGCACATAGATCCTCATCCTCTTCGTCCTGAGCCTCGCCCTTAGTGGGCCCTGGAAACAACAGGGCCGTTTTTCGGCGGGTTCCGTTTTGCCGTTTTTGTTGCCGGTTCCGACGCCGTCTTTTTGCCGGTTGCGTCGCCGTTTTGTGACCGGTTCCGGTGCCGATTCCAATCTTGGAGCAGTTTTTTTGCCGTTTTCGGTCGCCGTTTTTTTGCCGTTTCCATTTTCAAGGGTTTTTTGGGGGACTGCCGTTTCCGGGGCCCACAAGGGCCTCGCCCTCCTGGTCCTGGCGCTCGTTCTCATCTCGATCATGTTTCCTTCCCGCTGGGAAAAGCGCACGCCCCTTCGTCTGCATGCGGAAACTCCCGATCAACCGCAGAGCGGGCCGGCTAGTAATTACACCAGGGAGCTTGCACCGCGCAGCACGCAGCTTGCACCACACAGGTTGCACCGCACCGCCCAAGCCACAAGGCTTACACTCCACGTGGCCTGCGCCGCAGATCTAGGCCTCCTAGATGGGGTCCGAGTAGATGGGGCTGGAGGAGCGCGCCGCCTCGCCGATGCATCGCCGATGCGGCTCGATGTGGAGCCCGATTCGCTTCACACTGACGTAGCTGATGCATCGCCGACGTCGACGGTGCATCGCCAGTGCATCGCCGATGCATCGCCGATGCATCGTCGATGTATCGGCGATGCGGCGCCATCGTCCGACCCCATCGGCTCGGACCCCATCTAGGAGGCCTCTGGCAGAGCTTGCACCGCACAGCTTGCACCACACATTTTGGACCAGAAACCTTGCACCGCATGAGTTGCACCACCTAGCTTGCACTACTCTTTGGGGTCCACGCTGGCTCACATGACTTTTCAAGGGTTCGGGTTCCGGTGTGCGCGGGGTCGGCGGTCGTGGCCCTGGTCAGGGCCAGTTGCTGCGATGGCCCCGCGGGGCCAGTAGTCCGAGCGCGTCGAGGCCCCCGCGACGCACCGAACCGTCAGAGTTTGTCTGCTCGGTCTTCCGAAAAGCCCACGTTGATGATGATGTCCGATCATTTGATGGCTCCCTGCTGTGCGCCACACTGTGGCGATCATGCTGCTTGCCCACCTCCCCCGTTGGATGATTCCCGATCGTTTGATTCGGTTGGAGGCTGGCTGCTTGGGGCAATGCGGTCGGCAGCACAGAGTGCGAGGCATCGCTACTGCACATCGCTACTGCACTCGGACACGTTCGGGCTTGCTGCAGGTTTGAGCGCCTCCCGTACATCTTGATAATCAGGAGGCGTACGCCATGCGGCCGACACGCAGAAGATCGAGGAGGAGGAGGAGGAGGAGGACGAGTGATGCCTTTTGGATCCTCTTGGGGACCCCTCTGAGGGCATCGTCTGGGTCTCTTGGGGGCCTCTCCAGGCCAACTCAGAGGTTCCTGGACGCCTGCTGGCGGTTTGGTGGGTCCTCTTGAGGCGGAGGGCTCGGACATTGTCAGTTCGAATTGCCTCTCGTGGGCCTTTTTGGGGGGCCGTATTGGGGCCTTCTGGGGCCATCTTGGGCGCATCACGGGCCGTCGTTGCACCCTCTTCGGCCGTCATGTGGCCCTCTTGGGAGGGGGTTTCTTGGGCCCTCCCAGAGCGATCTTGGAAGGCTCTTGAACCGTCTTGGACATTATCAAGACCAAACGTGCAAACGTGCTAATCTATATATGTATATGTATGTGTGTATATATATACGCTGTCACTAAAGATTGGGACGAATTATACTTATTGGGGCCCTCTTGGCTGTTTTTGAGGTCTCCCCGGCGTGTTGGATCACAGCTTGAGCCAGCTTAGAGGGCATCTTATGCATTGTGGAGTCCGCGGAGTGTGATTCTGGAGACCCATAGGGCCCTGGAGGGGTGTTGACGAGCTCTTGCCCCCACCCCCACCCCCACTCCCCTAGCATGGGATGTTGGACCCCAGGGGGGAGGGATAGCATAGAGAGCTAGGCCTCGCTACTGCACGAGGAGAAGTTTGAGCTTGCTGCAGGTTTGACCTTCGGCCTATCCCGCCACCGTGCATGGGTTGTGGGTATGAAGCTTACTGGATGTTCGTTGGGATCTTGTGGGAGGCCTCTCGGGGGCCTCTTGGAGGCAGTTTGGAGGCCTCTTGGGGTCCGTTTTGTCGCCTCTTGGGGCCTCTTGGGAGCTTCTTGGGGGCCTCTTGGTCCATCGTGGGGGCCATCGTGGGGGCCTCTTGGGGGCCTCTTGGGGCGTCCTGGGCGCCTCTTGGGGGCCTGGGCGCCTCTTGGGGGCATCCTGGGGGCCTCTTGGGGCGGAAGGCTCGGATTGTCGGTTCGTGTTCCCTCTCTAGGGCCCCTTTTGGGGCCGTCTTGGGGCCCTCTTAGGCCGTCTTGGGCGCCTCTTGGGCCGTCTTGGGGTCCTCTCGGAAGCCTTTGCGGCCGTGTCGGGGTGGTCTTCGGGGCCTCTTGGGCCGTCTTGGAGGGTGGGGAAGGCGAAAAAGGCGAGAACGCCAGAATCCTTCCAAGCCCAGCCCAAAGGGAAGTTCATGCTTCTGGCCTCTTGGGGCCCTCTTGAGAGACCTCCTCGAGGCCTCTTGGGGGCACCTTGGGGAGGCCTCTTCGGGCCCGCTGTTGGGCCACCTTGGGCGTCTTGGCCCCGGGGGGCACGCGCCGAGCCCCGCCAAATGTCGGCATTTGGGATCCGGGCCCCTCCTCCTCCTCCCCCTCCTCCTCCTCCTCCTCCTCCTCCTCCTCGTCCTCCTCCTCCTCCTCCTCGTCCTCCTCCCCCTCCTCCTCCTCCCCCTCCCCCTCCTCCTCCTCCTCTTCCTCCTCGGGACTGAGGGCTGAGGCCCCAGGGACTCGGCAGAGGACCGGAGGACACGCTCACCCGTGCCCAGAGGCACGGTGGCAGATATGTTGTGCCGGCGGCAGCAGGATTCACCACCCAGCAAACCACCCCAACCCAACCCGAAGGCTCGGATTTACCCTCGATTTCCAGGGGGGGGGGGTCGGGAAACATAGAAAAAACACATGTGGAACCCTTGCCCCCCCAGCCCGAAATTCTGGTCTTCGGGTTGGGTTGGGGTGGTCTGGTAGGTAGTCAAGGATGGTGCGAGGCCGGGAGCCTTGAGACGGGGGTCAATGCAGACGGGGGTCAGCCAGGGCACCAGACCTTGCAGGATCCTGCGAAGACCCCCTCTGGCTGACCCGGGGTCAGCGAGCCGCTCGTGGCCGCGAGGCGGCCGCGCCTATTGGCTGACCCGGGTTTGCGAAGACCTGCGTTGCAGGTTTTTTGTCCTGCATTGTAGTTTTTGGTTTCCTGCTGACCCGGGTCTGGATTGACCCGGGTCAGAAGACCCCCGACGAGGGACACTGGTGTGGACGCTTGCGTGATATCCAAAGGGTAGTGATCGATTCGATGTCGCGCGTCTCGTTCTCGATGCTGGTTCTGAGCTGCATCATGCAGGCTTTATCAGAGAGATGTTGTAGTAGCAGTAGTTAGGTTTGCGGCAATTCATGGCAGAGCGGTTGACCACTAAAGAGTGGTCTCAATTCGCGTAGCCCCATTGTCAGACCTCCAGACACGGCGAGAAAAGCACGCTGCAAAATGATCACTCTCATTACACCGGGCGAGTGCGGCCGCAGAGTCCCCCTCGCTTCTAGACAACAGCACGTGTTCATGTTTCGATGTGTAGGGGCACAGGCCTTAAGTACGTGGAGTGCATGGGTGTGTGCACGGTCCTGAATGTTTGTGCGAATTGCATTGCACATGGTATGATACATGTGAGCATTTGTAATGGTGCGTTTATTGGCAGTGACCTTGTTAGTCCATCATGGTGATGTTGACTGTGGCCTTTTTGACAACACACGTGTTTGTGGTGCCATAATTGTTTTACGCCTACCATGACGATTCAGTATGACAGACAGGTGTGATTATGTCTCAAAACCTCGCGTGAGTTGCGTTTCGAACTTAGCTTAGCCTCAAGCTGAATTGGGGGATGGTCAGGGATCTCTTTGAGGTTGGAGTCGAGATGGGAACGAACAGCTGGAAAAGGGGGTAGACGACAGGGGGAGTAGCAAGCAAGTTACACCCGCTTCATCTCACGGTCTACCCCTCCCTCCCATCCCTTGCCCCTCTAGATTCGCACAGTCGGGTGTCGAAGCGCTACAGCGGGAGTGCCATTTCAGTTGACGGATATCCTATGGCAACTGAGAGATGATGACAGTGTTGTAGTGGGAGTTCCGTCTTGAAGTGCCAACACGCAAGGACCAGTGTTGGGAGGCGCACGCCACAAGCTGGTGCAAGAGTACGGCCTGCGTTGCGGCGAGAGCGTCAGTCCTTCGGACGGAGGTCCCGGGGCAAGTCAGGAAAGCGGCTTCAGAAACGAGGCCAACGCTGGAGTTGGAGCACAATGTGTCAAGGACCAGCACTTCAGACACGAGCCCCATGCTGTAGACTGATACTTATTTTAGGACAGGCGATTTGGAAGTGAGGCCAATGCTGAAGCGGGGACACCATTTTGAAGGACCGAAGCGCGGACACGACGCCAGCCATGCAGCGGGGAGCACTTTCGAGAAGGACAGCGACTCGGAAATGTCGAACAGAGGCCAGCGCCACAGTGGGAGCACTACGTGTAAGGCCATAAGCGCGGAGCGAGGCTAACCCTACAGCGGGAGCACAGCCGAGGAAGACGGACCACGCGGGAATCAGGTAAAGGTTGCAGTGGTGGGAGCAGTACAGTGGGGGCGCGCATCAAGCAACCATCTGCTTTCCGACAGGGTACTTTGACTTTCTTTGCTCCGCGCGCCGCGCGGGGACCTCCAGCAGCCGCTGAAGCAGCTGCTGCGCTCAGGGTGTTCTGGGCCTCCCCTAGGATGCGCCTCGCTCTCGGGTTCTCGGGTTTGGTTTTTGTTGCGAGGGTTTCTTGCGGCCGCGCCCGCGCGGTATTTCTGGAAGGACCGAAGTCGCTCGGATTGACAACGACACATACAGTGGAAACCCATGCCAACGACACATACAGTGAACACCCATGCCAAGAAACAGCCTGCTCGCCTTCAGGGTGCCCTGGGTTTCTTGGGCTTTGATGTTGTTGCTGTGGAGAGCGTGGCGTTCCCACACCAGAATTCATGGACGTCTTGGGGTCTCAGGGTTGGGTTTATTGTGGAAGCTTCCTCGTGGTCGAACTCCTACTGTATGACATTTCAAATGCTGAGATCCTCTGTTTCAGCAGCCGTGCACGGAGAGGGCGGGGCACTTTCAGCACGTCTTCTGGGGAGGGGGGAGGGGGAAAGTAGTGCTCGTTGTGCAGCTGTAGATGGGAGTGGGGGAGGCGATTGGGAGGAGGATCATTGAGGATAGAAGAATCCCTAACGTATTAGTATAGTGAAGGCATCCTCGAGACCACAGGACCCCCAAACCCTAAGAACACGATGGAGGCGTGGCCACACTGAGGTCTCCGTTTCCGCGCATGAGGAATGATGCATTTGGGCGGTTTGGTCTGAAACATTCGGAGAAAACTTGAATCTTCAATGTGTTCCCAACCATCCTGTGGTGTTGGGTCTTAGGTTTGAAGAGACAGCGCCCCGCGTGCCCCTCTCCTCTCCTCTCCTCTCCTCTCCTCTCCTCCTCCCTCTCCCACTCCCCCTCCCTCCCATCATAATCTCCCATCATCATCATCATCATCATCAGCATCGTCAGCATCATCAGCATCATCAGCATCATCATCATCATCATCATCATCACCATCACCATGATCATCATCATGATCAGCATCATCGTCGTCGTCATCATCATCGTCATCTTCATAGTCATCGTCGTCATGATCTTCATCGTCATCATCATCCCCATTTCGGCACAGCGGTTCGTAGCCCCATAGGGAGCTTCACCGACGGCCCCAGTGGCAGGGTCCGCATGGCACCGCCGCCCCATTTCGGCACACCCCTCACACGGTTCGTAGCCCCATACGGAGCTTCACCGAAGGCCCTTGTGGCAGGGTCCACATGGCACCGCCGCCCCATTTTGGCACACCCCTCACACGGTTCGTGGCCCCACATGGAGTTCCATTGAAGGCCCCAGTGGCAGGGTCCGTATGGCACCGCCGCCCCCTGGTGGCACATCCTTCCACGGTTCGTGACCCCATAGGGTTGCAGGGTCCGCATGGCCCCGCCGCCCCATGTCGGCACACCCCCTCACACGGTTCGTGGCCCCATGGGGAGCTCCACCGACGGCCGCCAGTGGCAAGGTCCGCATGGCACCGCCGCCCCATGTCGGCACACCCCTCGTACGATTCGTGGCCCCACAGGGAGCTCCACCGAAGGCCCCAGTGGCAGGGTCCGCATGGCACCGCCGCCCCATTTCGGCACACCCCTCGTACGATTCGTGGCCCCACAGGGAGCTCCACCGAAGGCCCCAGTGGCAGGGTCCGCATGGCACCGCCGCCCCATTTCGGCACACCCCTCGTACGATTCGTGGCCCCACAGGGAGCTCCACCGAAGGCCCCAGTGGCAGGGTCCGCATGGCACCGCCGCCCCATTTCGGCACACCCCTCGCACGGTTCGTGGCCCCATAGGGAGCTCCACTGAAAGCGGTACCCACAACGCGGTGCTCACAAGTGCGTATGGTTGGGTCCTTCGCCAGGACAATTGGCCTCCTTACCTCATGTCCCCTGCCAAAGGGTGGAGGGCCCTCTTATGGCTTATCAGAGGCTGTGGCAGGACGTGCGGTCGGACGGAAGGCGACCGACGATTGCCACGACGACTTGAGGGGGGCGACGAGCACGATGATGAGAACGAGGAGGGCGAGGACGAGGAGGGCGAGGAGGGCGAGGACGAGGAGGACGAATTGAGGAGGGCGAGGACGAGGAGGAACACGAGGACGACGCCCAAAGATGGCCTCGACCACGACGACGAGGAGGGGCGGCGAGCGAGGGGGGGTGGTCAGAAGGAGGAGGCCTTCTCAGAAGGTTAACGGAAGTCCCCGGCCTTCTGAGGAGTTTTCTTGAGCCTTTCTGAAGACACAGAACGTTTCTCAGAAGGCCGGCTGCATTGTTTGAGAAGCCCCGTCGGTTTTTTCCCCCCCTCGCTCGCCGTCGACTGGAGTCCGAGGAGAAGGAGGAGGTTGGGGAGGAGGTGGAGGACGAGGGAAAGGGGAGGGCGAGGAGGAGAAGGAGGAGGAGGGGGAGGGGGAGGAGGAGGAGGAGGAGAGGAGGAGGGAGGAGGAGGAGGAGGAGGAGGAGGAGGAGGAGGAGGAGAGGAGGAGGAGGCGGGGGCGGAAGAGGCCGAAAGCCAGGCGACCCTGTGCCTGACCCTCGTTGGAGGCAAGCCGCCCCGCCGGGCGGGGCGCCGCCCCCCTGCTCCGGGCCGCCCGCACGACGACGTCGCCGCCGTCGTCGTCGTCGCCGTCGTCGTCGCCGAGCTCGGCTGCAGGGGAGGGGTCGGACGGGGCCAGGACGAGGACAAGCTCGTTCCAGCGCGTTCTGGCACCCTCTCGGAGCGTTCCGGGACGCTCTGAGACGGCCGCGGCGCCCGAGAGATTTTCCAGAGCCGCTGGGCTTCAGAGATTCTCGATTTATCTTCGCCCGGATTTATCCTCGTCCTGGCTTCGTCTTCAGGGGGAGGAGGAGGACCGGTGTGAACCCGACAGGCATCAACGATGTTGCAATCAACCCTCCCTCCCAGTTCCCTCTTCACAGGTCCCACCCCTGCAGAGAATTATGTTCATTGCGGGGCGTTCCCCATGGAAAGGCAGTCGTCTGAGAATTATTAATCGTGCCAAGGAGTAGGATGAGGAGGGCTGCAGACACTAGAGGAGGATGAGGCGGAGGAGGAGGAGGACCCAGACATCTTCCGTCTCGAACAAAATCGAGCCTGAGCTCTTTATGACGACACCGGCCTGGGTTGGCCATTTCGCGATTCCGGGGCCGACAACAAGCAATCGAGGGCCAGGGTCCCAAGGAGGGGGTCGAGAGTTCTGAGTTCCGCAGAGTAAGCAAGTTATGACATTTGAGGTCTAGGAAGAGGCGCAAAGTTGGACCAAGATAGCTTCTATCAATTCCAATAGGCTCTACGGCGGCTCCAACACACAGAGGAAGATGGCTTCGGGGCCTCCCAAGGATGCCCCCGAGAGGCCAGAATCATCAAACAAGCTCATGTTGCTCATTTTTATATTCCGTTCTCGCCTTGTCGCTTTCGATGTTTCCAAGGCCTCAAGATGTCCCCAAGAGTGCCCAAGAAGGGCCCGGAAGGGCTTCGCATGCGATGTGTTCGGTAGCATTGGTAACACAACAGACCAAGCAGCAGCAGCAGCAGTAGCAACAACTACAATACGTTGAAGTCTAAATCCTTTTACCTTTTCGCGTGCCACTCAACACATCTGTCCCAAACCCTCGATACCGACTTCTTCGTCTTCGATCGTACCCCTTTGGGGGTGTATCTTGCTTACCTGCCACGTGTACTTGGAGCAGCCCCTAACACAACGGAAGAGAAGGAGGAGTGAAGGACCGGACAAGGGGGAGGGCGAAGGTCTGAGGACGAGAGAGAT